AAAGATTCAGCTTCAACCTTTTACCTTTAGTCTGCGGGGTTGTTTCGGAGGTAGAGGTCTTGAATTGTGCAAAAAGTAATAGAATATTGAGTTCACGGCAATGCAAAAAAAATAATTAGATGAGTGACTCAACATCCTCTCACCTTTCGCTTTCCTCTTTTCTTTGTAGGTACAGTTTCTGGTTCAGCGACAGTTGGGACCTGAAAAGCGCTTCTAATTTCAAATCCTCCTTCACATGTCTTAAAAGTGACTACGCAGATGCGCTCACGTAATTATACTGCGGCATTCTACATATCCATAAAAAGAAGCGCATGCTGCAGGAACAAGATCGGGGTTGATTCCTTTTAAAGACATTAATACGATCACGCCAACAAGTTTGGCTGTCGGACACTGTCGCGAGCTATTGCTCTGTGAAAAGAAGTGCTTCCCGGGACACTTTTGGCCCTACAGATGCTGCTGAAACTTTCCTTCCGTCCGTTATTTTTTTTGGATTGGCCCTGTAGAATACCTCCACAATTTTAGCGGATCCTAAGCCACCCGGCAGAGAAGCAGCGAAGGCGTCCTGTTGCTGCACACCTTCTTGGACGCGAAACATTTCACAGCATCATGCATCCATAACCCCTGAAGCGTTCTACAGTTGCATGCACCCCCGCTTCCCACTGAAGTTGTTTATGAACAATAATAACGGTCACAGTGATACTGCTTAGGACACCTTTGTAAACAACCACCTTGCATCCGAAATCCAGTTAGTTTGGCACAGTTGCATATCACGCACTGCTAATAAGATAGGAAATAGGTGTGCTCAAAGACAGTCTCGCTCAAGCAAATATTAGGCACCCTTCCTCGTTCAAGTAGTCTGGCCCGCAATCTTTAAGACTGTTCATTCGCGGCTCAATAATACCTAATGAAGGCGCCCTCATAAGTGGCAGTTCCCACGCTTCCCTGGTTGTTCCGCCCACCGAAACTCAAAGGATGTTGTCTGTCACAAGTGCAATTTTTACACAGTGTTGTTTGCATTTTTCACTGGTATTAGTATTTGGTAGTAGCATCGGATGACGCGAAGAAACGATTATTGAGCCGGAGGTAGCAGAATAGCTCCTTGCTGGCATGGAGCATTCTCGGACAGATGGGATACCAGATGGGGCTGCCACGGGTACCCTGGATGCTTTCCAATTTTTTTTCGAGGAAGGTCACTTGGCGACCATAGGTACATAATTTAGCAACAAGACCGCAAAT